GATTGTTGCACTTACACATTGTCAAATCCCTTTTCAGGTCTCTTCTTTTGTGTGATTACCAAACTTCTTAATCTTCCTGGTACGAAGTGTATATTATTAGTTCTATATGGTTTTATTATATATATTGGAAAGTATATACATGCCTTGATTACATTCACACCCAGGAATATGATATTCATTTTGAAGTTGTTTTGCATTGCTAACATCATTCTAATTGTATTGCAAGATTTACATGATCAATTCGATTGTTGCACTTACACATTGTCAAATCCCTTTTCAGGTCTCTTCTTTTGTGTGATTACCAAACTTCTTAATCTTCCTGGTACGGAGTGTATATTATTAGTTCTATATGGTTTATTACTCCGGATTAGTATATACATTTTACATGTAGTAGTTTTATTTTCTTATCATTGAATTTATTTCATCATTTTTCTTTTGCAGGGATAAGAAAGACATACAAGAAAAGAATGACTCACTATCGTGCAGTTAAGATCCTTGATAACATGGCTAAAGGAATCATGGGTTTTGATGAAGCAAAGCTGAAAGAGGCGTCAGTTTATGAGTCCCTATTGGAAGCATCCAAAAGTGGAATTGCTGAGTTCATAATCAAGTTGACTCAGGCTAATCCTGATCTTTATTGGGTTATTGATGAAAATCAAAGAGGAATATTTTCATATGCCATTTTGTATCGTCGTGAAAAAATTTTCAACCTCATAAAAGGTTTGAAAGGACAAGGAAAGGTGATCATTTCTCGCACAGATATATTTGGTAACAATATGTTGCATTTGATAGGGACATCAGTGCCTATAGCCGAGCTTGATCGCAAATCTGGTCCAGCTTTGCAAATGCAAAGAGAACTTCAATGGTTTAAGGTTATTGTTTTTTTTAATTTTTTTTTCTTCATATCATATAAGTGGATTGCTAAAGTAAAATTTCAATTATGATAAGAAAACACCTCGCAAATCACTTACATGCTACACTTTAGTTTTCTCCTTTACATTATTAGCTACTAGGGCTAGTGTGCTACTAACCTATGCTATCATTGTCTTGAATTTTATGTAATTCATAATTTTAGAGATTACCGTGAATAATGTATAATTAATATCATCATTGATGTTTCAAACAACTTTAATCCACAATAGCAACCATTTTTTTATATTTCATATACATATTTGATACAATTGTTGCAGGCGGTGAAAAGAATTTTGCATCCAAAGTTTCAACAAGCTGTAAATGGAGATGGCATGAAGCCTAAAGAAGTATTTACTAAAAAACACGAGGAGCTATTGAAGGATGCAGAAAAATGGGCTAAGGAGACAGCAACATCCTTCACAATAGTGGGGACTCTTATCATAACCATTGTGTTTGCAGCAGCATTCACTCTTCCTGGAGGAAACGACCAAACTACTGGCATTCCTATCTTTTTACACAAAAGAATGTTCACAACTTACATGGTGTCTGATGCTATCTCACTTTTTGCTTCCTCCACTGCTGTCATGAATTTTATTGGAATTCTCACATCTCGTTATGCTGAAAGGGATTTTAGTAAATCCCTGCCACTAAAGTTGATGTTTGGACTTTTCACACTCATATGTTCAATCCTTGCTATGATGGTTGCATTTTGCTCTGCCTTTTCTTTGATGCTGCGGGATTCAGGGCATTTCAAGATAGTGAGATTTGTCATCTCCATTGCAAGTTTGTCTGTGGCCATATTTCTACCTATCCAACTACATCTCCTGCTTGAGATTTTTAATTCTACCTTCAGATCAGAGATACTAAATATCAAGAAAATCTAAGCTTATACAAGTGTACTAGTAGCTAATGTAAAAAGAAATTTGCCTTTACTTTAAAAGGTTATAGATCATTCATACTACTTTGAAATTCAAAGACAAGACACTAATGTAAGTCATTAGAATCAAAACTTTGAAATATTTTATTCTAATGTTTTAAAAAAAGTAGACTTAAATAAGTGTTTTTAGTCTATATATTTTTATAAATATTGTGTTTTAGTCTCTATAATTAAAAATATTTTGGAACGTGAGCTGGATCCAGTAGTCCAAATTTGATTTTATTTATGTTAAAATAATATTTAATTTAACTTTAAAACACTATGGAAATAATGTCTTTTAAAAAAAAGTTGATTGAAAATTTGGGATGTTGCCATTTTTGCAAGCACATGGATAAATAATAAACATATTTTACATTTAGGAGAGAAATGTTGGTTACGTGGACAAGTTTAACGTATTATTGATGAAAGACGGTAGATTTGGCGAAGAATAGAGTGAAAGAGAGAACCGTACGATGTCCCCTCTTTGTTAGTTTTAAATTGAAAACCCTAGATTCGAAGGTAAAGATAAAGACTAGATGTTTTTACTAATTTCATAGGTGATAGGTGCATTTGATTTGAGAGAATGGAAACGGTGATATTTGAAGATGCATGTGCAGATTTTGCGTCTATGGTTGACGATGAAGTTGGAAGCTTTTCTGTTTCTAGAATGAGGGTAGGGGGCGAGAAGCTAGTGCGGGCTGTGGATAAGATCGTGGAAAACGCCCGTAAGGATATGAAAGAGGTAGAACCCCAGTTCCTAGAATTCCAGCATAGTCTAAAGCGACTAGTAGAAGACCTCACTCTTCTACTTGGACCCTTATCCTCTTCCACCCCTTTCGAGATCAATCTTCGCCGTATGCTTCGCCAGACTTTGAACAGGATACGAAATCATCTGATTTGTCATGTCGCTAGAATTAGAAGCACCGTTTCTCATCTGATTTGTCAGGCAAGCCCAGTTGATGGGGTCCAAGCCCAGGCCCACATATATGGCCGGAATCATGATTATGGCAAGATTGTGGAGTTTCTTTGTAGCCAAGCACAAACACATGCCTCTCACATCCTTTCCATCTATCCCATTGTTGGCATGTCTGGGATTGGAAAAACAACACTTGCTCAATTGGTATACAATCATCAACGGGTAAGTACCCATTTTGATGTAAGAATTTGGATTTCTTTTTCTGCCAATTTCTCTGTCAAGAAGATTCTGTGTTCCATTATAGATTCTGTTGCACAAGAAAAGTATGATCACTACGATTTAGATGTAGTGGAAAGAAAAGTGCGAGACCTTTTGCAATGGAAAAGGTACTTGCTTGTTTTAGATGATCTTCACCTCGTATATGGTGAACTGAACGAGTTGAAATCTATGTTGACTCGAGGATCAAAAGGTTCTTGCATTTTGGTAACTACTCTCTTTAAGGAGGTTGCGCAAGTCATGGGAACATTCGGACCTCATCACTTGACTCCTCTATCAGAGGACCACTGTTGGTCAGTTTTCAAACAATATGCATTTAGACCTGGCGAACAAGAGCCTGAAGTTCTTAAACGAATAGGCAAAGAAATAGTAAAAAAGTGTGAGGGATTGCCTCTTGCTGCACAAGCATTGGGAGTTCTAATGCGCTCAATGAATAAGGAACATGAATGGCTTAGAGTTGTACATAATTGGTCATGGCATTCTGAACCTGAGCTTGGTAATTCTGCTTTGACTTCTTTGAGCTTGAGATATTCCAATTTAACCCTATGCTCAAGGCTTTGTTTTACTTTCTGTGCCATATTTCCCCAAATACAGAAATTATGAAGGATGATTTGATTCATCTATGGATGGCAAATGGGTTTATTTCATCCGACGGGAACTTGGAGGTTGAACAAGTTGGCGACATAATATGGAATGAATTGTACCACAAATTATTCTTCACAGATGTCAAGACAGATGATTATTCAGGGGACATATCTTTCAAGATGCTTGGTCCTGTCCAAGAGTTTGTTGAGTCCACTAAGAGCGGAGACTGTGTGATTTTGGATAATTATAACAAGACTTCTTTGTCAGCAACGACACTCCATGTTAGTTTTGGTTCTGATTTGTTATTATTCAGTAAGGGAACCTTACAAAGAGCTGAAAACTTGCAAACATTATATCAGTTTGAGTTTGCATTTCATAACACAACCTCTGGTTGTTTTCTAACAAACTGTTATCTTCGGGTTTTAAGAACAAGTTATTTAGAGTTATCATCACTCAGGAACTTAATTTGTTTGAGGTATTTGGAGCTTTATGGTTTTCAAATAAAAAGCCTCCCTGACTCAATTTATAGCCTGAAAAAGTTGGAAACATTGAAATTGACATCCTGTCGTAAACTTATGTGTCTACCAAAGTACTTGACTCGCTTACAGAATCTTAGGCATTTTGTCATCAGTGAATGTCCTTCATTATCTCGCATGTGCCCAAACATGCACAAATTATCTTGTCTAAGAACATTAAGTTTATTCATTGTTAGTTCAAAGAAGGGGCACAAATTGGAAGAGTTAAGGGGCCTAAACCTCGGAGGAAAACTATGCATTGAAGGCCTAAAATATGTTGGCAGTTTATATGAAGCAGAAGGGGCCAATTTGATGGGTAAAACAAAATTACATGAGTTATCCTTGTCATGGGACAGCTGTGGTGAACCTAAGTCAAATGCTACAATGAATGTTGAGGAAGTACTTGAAGCACTTCAGTCTCCCCCAAATCTTAAGACATTGAGAATATATGATTATGAAGGATCACGCTTGCCGAGTTGGATTCAAAAGCTCAAAAGTTTAGTTACTCTTGAACTTTTTGATTGCAAAATGTGTCAGCAACTTCCACAACTTGGTAAACTACCCTTCTCAAAAGGCTTGAAATATTTTCTATGGATGATGTGCAATACATGGATGATGATGAATCTTGCCACGGTGTGGAAGAGTGTTTCCCATCTTTGGAGCAACTCAATGTTTGAGGGTTACCAAACTTAAAACACTTGTTGAAAGTGGTGGAAAGATCTATCATCTTTGCTAGAGGGAATGCTTAGAAACCTTTCTGGAGGTGAAGATCTATCATCTTTGCTAGAGGGAATGCTTAGAAACCTTTCTGGAGGTGAAGATCTATCATCTTTGCTAGAGGGAATGCTTAGAAACCTTTCTGGAGGTGAAGATCTATCATCTTTGCTAGAGGGAATGCTTAGAAACCTGGCGTGTCTTAAAACTATGATATTGTATGATTTCCCGAAACTGAAGGTATTGTCAGATGAACTCCTCAAACTAAATGCTATGGAGCGTTTAGAAATCAAATGGTGTGGTGATCTTATGTCTTTACCGGAGCAAGAAGGCTGGTCAGGTCTGTTGTCTCTTCGTTATTTGGAGATTGCTTACTGTGGAAGATTCACATCCTTGCCAGAAGGTGTTAGACAAGTCACATCTCTTGAGGTTCTCAAAATTGAATTCTGCCCAGATTTGGAGAAAAGATGCAAAAAGGGAACAGGAGAGGACTGGAACAAGATAGCACACATTCCACAAGTAATTTTGTTGCAATAGTATGAGGATGAACCAATCTTTTGTCAACCTCAGGTAGTTTCTCTCCTCCCTCTCTCCCCCCCTTTTTTTTTCTATTGCTTATGGCATTTGTTTGCATTTCTCTTCAAGCAGTGACACCTTCTAACAATCTCTTTTATGTATTTGCAGCATATGGTACTCGAGTCTTGTCTCTTCGACTATGTGAATGTGACTAGTGTGAGACCCCATTTTTTTCTTCTCCGCTTCTCATTTCTCTACCTTCACTTTCACTCTCACTCTTATACTCTCTTCTCCCCCAAAGTCTCTACTCACTCTGTTGTTCACTCTTACTCCTTGGGTTGAAGGTGCAAATTAGTGGTGTTCGAAGCTTGCTGAGGAGCGGAATTCCTTTTCTCCGTTCATCCTTCTCCTTCTCCATTTTTCTTCCATTGTTTTCTCTTCCCGGAGTTCGGAATCTTCTCACCGAGGTAAGAGAAGCTAGATTGTTGCTGATTGTGTGAGAATGAGTTTTAGAAACTCATTAGTTGCTTGATGTTAGATGATTGAAGTGCTGAGTTGAAGAAACTTCATTTTCAGGGTTTCAGGGTTATGGGTGAAAATTTGGGTTTTTCATGTTTTGGTGATTGCATGTTGAAAAAGAAGGTATTTTTGAGCTGTTTGGCAAAAATGTGGAGTTTTGGATGGTTTGCATGTGCTTGGACTGGTAGATTTTGCAGGTTTTGGGGAAAATCTTTGAAGTTTGGGGGTTGCTGTGTGATAGTGCGCCAGGAGTAGTTATTGGCACCGGGCGTGTGTTCATTAGAGGGCTCCATTGGTCGAGCACGCCAGGCGCAAGGCTGGATGCGCCGGGCGAGCTTGGGGATGGAGGCCCCTGGGTGACTCACGCCGGGCGTGGAAGAACCGCACTGGGCATGATATCAGACAAGGACTCAATGTTTTAGGTTACTAGTGCGACGCTGGGCGTGACTACGTCTCGTCGGGCGTGGAGACTCCTTGGGAGTCTCTGATAGGGGTGGCGCTAGGCGCAATTGGTACGTGAGACCTTGGGAAGGTCTCTGCCTTCCCTGCGTCGAGCGCGGGTTTGGCACGCCGGGCGTGTGAGGCTCTTTGGACTCTCTGCCTCCTAGCACGCCGGGCGCAATTAAAATTACGCTTGGCACGTTTGAGCCCTAGAGCTCTCTGGTGGACCACGTCGGGCGCAACCATGAGTGTACCGAGCGCGGATATGTACTTTCTTTATATGTTGATACATGCTGATATATGCTGATATACATTGATGTTTGCTGAGTTAAGCTGTTATTGATGAATGTTGGTGAGCTGAGAGATGATTATGTTGGGCTGAGTTGTTCATGCTGAATTATGATGTTTAAGTTGTATTGATGTATAAAGTTGAGTTGTGCTGTATGCTGTATGCTGTATGTTGTTAATGTCGTTATGTTGTGCTGTGCTGCATGTTGATATAAACTGTTGTAGGCCGTAAGGTTGAGCTGTTGTAAGCCGTAAGGATGAGCTGTTGTAGGCCGTAAGGCTGAGCTGTTGTAGGAGATCTCTGAGCTGATATACGTGACGACGCATTGTTTGTTTAATGTTTCTTTGCTGAATGATGTGAAATGTATGTTGTGATGTATCATATGTTGATTCTTGCTGAACTAGATGATGTGATGATAAGCTGTAGTTGTTTATAATTTATGTATTTTTATATATATATGTTGATTCTTTTCACTAGCTTACCCTTGTTGTTTCCACGTGGTTTGGAATGCAAAATGATCATATTATGTATGAGAGCAGAGCAGGGATAGGTTGGTGTCTTGAGGCAGGTCTGCAACTGGTAGATGGAGTGAATATTTGATGTTTTATTGTTTTGGCTACTTATTGTAGCTATTTTGATGAATTTTGTACATTGATTTGAGCCCCAGGCTAGACATATGTGTATATACTTTATATTATATATGTATGCTCTATTATGTGTGGTGCTATGTGGTTTGCTATGTGACGGCCAAACAGGTCGTTACACTTTTATGGTATTAGAGCAGTTCGAGTCTAGTAGACACTCATTGTGGGTGGTTCCTTTAGGCTTTTGTTGTGCTGAACTCTGTGTTGTGTTGATTGTTGTGCTGATTTCTTGTTGTCTGGTTTAGTTATTGTATACTAAAGGTGCTGTTACTTTTGTAGACAATGACTAGAACCAACGAGCAGAGAGCCCGTGCCATGGAGATGATGGCTATGGCTATGCAACAGCAGAATGCCTACTTTGCTAGGATGGATACTGATAGAGCTGCAGCTGGTGCAGCAAGGCCAGTTGGGTCACAGGAGAGCCGGGATCTTGCTGAGTTTCGCAAGTGTCATCCTCCGCAATTTAAGGGTGATGCAAATCTAGAGGTAGCTGACCACTGGATCTGTGAGCTAGAGAAGATCTTCACTGTGTTGGAATGTTCTCAGGAGAGGAGGTTGGCATATGCCGTCTACATGCTGGTTGGAGAGGCTGAACATTGGTGGAGGGGTACCCACCACATGTTGGTTGCTAGAGGAGTTTCTGTTGACTGGGAGTGCTTCAAGAGGGTATTTCTTGAGAAATACTTCCTAGAGAGTGTGAGGCACGCCAAGGAGGCTGAATTCATGCAGTTGCACCAAGGAGGGATGTCAATTTCCGATTATGCGATGAGATTCGAGCACCTGACTCTTTTATTCGCAAGCTATTTTTGAGGCTTGGAAATGCAGGAAGTTTACTGAGGGTCTGAGACAAGAGCTGAAGAGGGTGGTGGTGCCTATGGCCATCACTGAGTTTCCGGCCTTGGTTGAGAAGGCGAAGGTTGTTAAGCGGTTGGAAGGTGGCAACCGTGTGATGAAAACTGTTGAGGGACCAGCTGGGTCCAAGAAAGGTGGAGGTCAGAGGAAGCCATTAGGAAACCTGTTGATACTGCTCGAGGTGGGAAACATGGTGGAGGTGCCACTCTCAAGTGTTACAGGTGTGCAAGACCCCATTTTGTTCGAGATTGTCCACACACGGAGAGCCGGTGTTTCAGGTGTCATTAGATGGGTCATGAGTCGACTAACTGTCCCACCAGAAACAGATCGGATAGGGGTGCTCTAAGAGGTGATAGACCTGCTGCTGCGGGGAGGGTATTCGCCTTGATTAGGGCTGAAGCTTTTACTTCTTCTGATCTTGTGAAGGGGAATGGTAAAACTGCTGGTAAGGATGTGGTGATTCTCTTTGATTATGGAGCTTCTCATTCCTTTATTTCATATGTTTGTGTTGCTATGTTGGGTGTGCCAGTTTGTGCTTTGGGGTTGAGATTGCTAGTGTTGACGTTCGTTTCTGTTTCAATAGTTGTTTCTGAGCTGTGTGCTGATTTTTCGATTGTTGTGAATGAGAAAAAATATAAGGTGAACTTGATTTATTTGCCTTTGGTGGATATTGACATAATCTTAGGGATGGATTGGTTGTCTTTCAATCGCATCCTTATAGATTGTGCCAATAGGAGGTTGATCTTTTCTCAGGTGGAGGAGGAGTTGTTGATTTCAGCTAGTCAAGTTGAGTCATTGATGAGAGATGGAGCAGAGTGTTGTATTCTGCTTGCTGCTATGAGTGTGGAGACCGAGAGGGTCATTGCTGAGATAGATGTGGTGAAAGATTTTGCTGAGGTGTTTCTTGATGAGGTGTCTGGATTGCCTCCTACTAGGGAGATGAAGTTCAACATTGACTTGGTTCCAGGTGCGGGGCCAGTGTCGGTGGCTCCTTATAGGATGGCCCTAGCTGAGTTGGTTGAGCTGAAAAGTCAGTTGGAAGACTTGCTGGAAAAGTAGTTGGTGAGGCCGAGTGTATCTCCGTGGGGTGCTCCCGTGTTGTTAGAAAAAAAGAAGGATGGAGGTAGTCGACTGTGTGTTGATTATCGACAGTTGAACAAATTGACCATTAAGAACAAATATCCACTTCACCGGATAGATGACTTAATGGATCAATTGAAGGGAGCATCGGTATTTTCAAAGATTGACTTGAGGTTAAGATATCACCAGATCAGGGTGAAGGAGGGTGACATACCTAAGACCGCTTTCAGGACTAGGTCACTACGAGTATGTTGTGATGCCGTTTGGTGTGACCAAAGCCTTGATAGTGTTCATGGATTACATGAACAGGATCTTCCAGCCCTTCTTGGATAAATTTGTGGTGGTGTTTGTTGATGACATCTTGATTTATTCAAGGACCCCGGAGGAGCACGGAGAGCACTTGCGATTGGTGTTAGAGATTTTGAAGGCGGAGAAGTTGTACGCCAAGTTGTCTAAGTGTGAGTTCTGATTGAAAGAGGTGAAGTTCTTGGGCCATGTTATTTCAGCTCAAGGGATTGTTGTTAATCCGGCTAAGGTGGAGTCGGTGTTGCAGTGGGAGCGTCCAAGAACTGTCACTGATATTTAGAGTTTTGTGGGTCTAGCGGGTTATTATAGGAGGTTCATTGAAGGATTCTCCAAGATAGTAGCGCCTCTAACCCAGTTGACAATAAAGGATCAGCCTTTCATTTGGACAGATGCTTGTGAGCGGAGTTTTGATGAGCTGAAGAGGAGGTTGACTACTTCTCCTATATGGTGTTGCCTGACTCTAGTGAGCCCTTTGATATGTACTGCGATGCTTCTCACCAGGGTTTGGGGTGTGTGTTGATGCAAAACAAGAAAGTAGTGGCATATGCTTCAAGGCAACTGAAGAACCATGAGAGGAATTATCCTACTCATGACTTGGAGTTGGCGGCAGTTATTTTTGCCTTGAAGATATGGAGGCATTATCTGTATGGTTTTCGGTTCAGCGTCTTCAATGATCACAAGAGTCTAAAGTACTTGTTTGATCAGAAGGAGCTGAACATGAGACAGAGGCAGTGGATGAAATTTCTGAAGGACTATGACTTTCAACTGATGTATCATCCTGGGAAGGCTAATGTTGTGACAGATGCGCTGAGTAGGAAATCCATCCACGTGTCTAGTATGATGGTGAAAGAGCTGGAGCTGGTGGAGGAATTCAGAGATTTGAATCTCTGTGTGGAGCTAGCTCAGGATCACATTAGTTGTGGAATGACTACCATAACTATTGAGTTCTTGAGGCAGGTTGGATTGAAGCAGTTGCATGATGTGGAGTTGGTGCGCATTCTTGGTTTGCTGGGTACCGAGAAAGCAGTGGGTTTTGAGCTGAGCAGAGATGAGATCTTGAGGTTTAAGGGCAGAATTTGTCTACTTTATGATTTTGAGCTGAAGAAAGCTGTGATGGAGGAAGACCACAAGAGTAGACTTAGCTACATCCTGGTATGACTAAAATGTACCAAGACCTCAAGAAGACTTTCTGGTATGAAGAGAGATATTGCTGAATATGTGTGGCCTGTCTGACCTGTCAGAAGGCGAAGGTGGAGCATCAGAAGTCAAGTGGTTTGATGCAGCAGATGGAGATTTCGGAATGGAAGTGTGATAGTATTATTATGGATTTCATTGTGGGATTGCCTAGGTCGGCTAGGAATAGTGATGCTATCTGGGTGATTGTTGATCAGCTGACCAAGTGTGCACATTTCTTGCCTGTCAATATCAAGTGGTCCTTGGAGAAGTTGATGCAGTTGTATGTGAGGGAAATAGTACGGTTGCACGGGGTGCCTTCCAGTATTATTTCAGACAGAGATCCGAGGTTCACTTCCAGATTTTGGCAGAGTTTACATCAAGCCTTAGGCACGAAATTGAGGTTGAGTTCTGCTTATCATCCCCAGATGGATGGTCAGTCAGAGAGGACAATCTAGTCCTTGGAGGATTTGTTGAGGCTTGTGTGTTAGACCACTTGGAAAGCTGGGAGGAAGTCCTAACGCTGGTAGAGTTCACTTACAATAATAGATTTCATGCTAGTATTGGGATGACACCGTTTGAAGCCTTGTATGATAGGAAATGTAGGACTCCTCTATGTTGGTATCAAGATGGTGAGTCAGTGGTTGTGGGACCGGAGCTGATCCTACAGACTATTGAGAAGGTGAAGCTGATTTAGGAGAGAATGAAGACTGCTTAGAGTAGGCAAAAATCTTATGCTGATAAAAGGCAAAAGCCTTTGGAGTTTGCTGAAGGGGAGCATGTGTTTCTGAAGGTGACCCCAACCTCTGGTGTGGGTAAAGCGCTAAAGGCAAAGAAGTTGACACCTAGGTTTGTTGGTCCCTATCAAATCATCCATCGTGTGGGTCCGGTCGCATATCGGTTGGCTTTGCCACCGTCTCTCTCAAACCTACACGATGTGTTTCATGTATCCCAGATGAAGAAGTATGTTCATGATCCCGGTCATGTGGTTGAGTTGGATGATGTGCGTGTGAAGGAGAACCTGACTTTTGAGAAGTCGCTTGTAGTTGTGGTTGATTACAAGTTGAAAGAGTTAAGGGGCAAGTCCATTGCTTTGGTGAAGGTGTTGTGGGATGCAGCTACTGGTGAAACTACTTGGGAAGTGGAGCAGCAGTGTAGGGAGCGGTATCCTTCCTTATTCCCAAGTAAGTCTATTTTCGGGGACGAAAATTCTTGTTGTTAGGGAGGTTGTGAGACCCCATTTTTTTCTTCTCCGCTTCTCATTTCTCTACCTTCACTTTTACTCTCACTCTCATACTCTCTTCTCCCCCAAAGTCTTTACTCACTTTGCTGTTCACTCTTATTCCTTGGGTTGAAGGTGCAGATTAGTGGTGTTCAAAGCTTGCTGAGGAGCGGACTTCCTTTTCTCCATTCGTCCTTCTCCTTCTCCATTTTTCTTCCATTGTTTTCTCTTCCCGGAGCTCGGAATCTTCTCACCGAGGTAAGAGAAGCTAGATTGTTGCTGATTGTGTGAGAATGAGTTTTAGAAACTCCTTAGTTGCTTGATGTTAGATGATTGCAGTGTTGAGTTGAAGAAACTTCATTTTCGGGGTTTCGGGGTTATGGGTGAAAATTTGGGTTTTTCATGTTTTGGTGGTTGCATGTTGAAAAAAAGGTATTTTTGAGCTGTTTGGTAAAAATGTGGGGTTTTGGATGGTTTGCATGTGCTTGGGCTAGTAGATTTTGCAAGTTTTGGGGAAAATCTTTGAAGTTTAGGGGCTGCTGTGTGATAGTGTGCCAGGCATAGTTATTGACGCCGAGCGTGTGTTCATCAAAGGGCTCCATTGGTCGAGCACGCCGGGCGCAAGGCTAGATGTTCCGGGCGAGCTTGGGGATGGAGGCTCCTGGGTGACTCACGCCGGGCGTGGAAGAACCGCATTGGGCGTGATATCAGACAGGGACTCAATGTTTTGGGTTACTGGTGTGGCACCGGGCGTGATTACGTCTCGTCGGGCGTGGAGACTCCTTGGGAGTCTCTACCAGGGGTGGCACCAGGCGCAATTGGTATTGCGCCGGGCGTGAGACCTTGGAAAAATCTCTGCCTTCCCTGCGCCGAGTGCGGGTTTGGCAAGCCGAGCGTGTGAGGCTCTTTGGAGTCTTTGCCTCCTAGCACGCCAGGCGCAATTGGAATTGCGCCGGGCGTGTTTGAGCCCTGAAGCTCTCTGGTTGGGCCACACCGGGCGCAATCATGAGTGTGCTGGGCGCGAATATGTACTTTCTTTATATGCTGATACATGTTGATAGATGCTAATATACGTTGATATTTGCTTAGTTAAGCTATTATTGATGAATGTTGGTGAGTTGAGAGATGATTATGTTGTGTTGTGAGTTGTTCATGCTGAATTATGATGTTTAAGTTGTATTGCTGTATAAAGTTGAGTTGTGCTGTATGTTGTATGTTGTTAATGTCGTTATATTGTGTTGTGCTGCATGGTGATATAAACTGTTGTAGGTCGTAAGGCTGAACTGTTGTAGGCCGTAAGACTGAGCTGTTATAGGCTGTAAGGATGAGCTGTTGTAGGTCTTAATGCTGAGTTGTTGTAGGCCGTAAGGCTGAGCTATTGTAGGAGATCTCAAAGCTGATATGCGTGACGATGCATTGTTTGTTTAATGTTACTTTGCTGAATGATGTGATGAAGTGTGTGCTGTGATGTATCATATGCTGATTCTTGCTAACTAGATGATGTGCTGATAAGCTGTAGTTGTTTATAATTTATGTATTTCTATATATATATGCTAATTCTTTTCACTAGCTTACCCTTGTTGTTTCCATGTAGTTTGAACTGCAATGATCATACTATGTATGAGAGCAGAGCAAGGATGGGTTGGTATCTTGAGGCAGGTCTGCAACTGGCAAATGGAGTGAATATTTGATGTTTTGTTGTTTTGACTACTTATTGTAGCTATTTTGATGTATTTTGTACATTGATTTGAGCTGCAGGCTAGACATATGTGTATATACTTTATATTATATATGTATGTTTTATTCTGTGTGATGCTGTGTAGTTTGTTGTGTGACGGTCAGGCAGGTCGTTACAACTAGTGTTTGGCTTGCTTGTTGCATTCATAGGTGGACAGAATGTAGACTCAGCTTGTGTGAACATTAGCAGTATTTTCTCGAATTTGCATTGTTTTATTTATTTGTCTATATTGGCGGGATGTTGATAGTTTGATTATCATTTTGAGTTGTGTTTGTGGCCAACCCCCCACCCCCAAATGAATTGTGAATCAAAAAGTTTAATGCTGCTGTAATTTTTTTTATTTTATTTTTTTATTTATTACATGCTGCAATTAATGTTTAACAAAGGTTATTGACCTATTATTACCTGTAACTAATTGTTATTTTGCTAGAAGAAATACGGAAGGAATCATTTCCTGTTGAAACGGGCTTATTAATTTCGTAATCATCCTATATTTTTCTTTCTTCCACATTACGAACATATTTATTTCACGCCTAAGTTTTATAAAGTTTGTAGTGGGGCAAATGAATTTCCGTTAGCTTTTGAAAAGGAACTCGATTTGATTGTGCAGTATTTTCATGTTCCTACTCGTTTTCTAATTTTTTAAAATTTATTTATTTAGAGTCTATTTGAATAATTTGAATACAAGATAAAAATACCATTTGAGTGATTTTTTAAGTAAAGATTTATTTTCAATAGTATTTTTTCCTTTAACAATATCACCTCTATGAAAAGATTGAAAAGATAGTTGTTTCATTAAAAGTATTGTACATCATGATGAAGTTATATTTATTACAGTGACAGGTTACATGTTCAAATTTACTTTTTTATTTTTATTTTTTTGCATTTTGAATTTTAGAATTCACTTCTGCGTATACAAATGATTAAATCTCTGATTTACAATCGAGCTTTTATAAAAGATGTTAAGAATGTTATAAATAATAATTAGTAGTTTAATTAATAGATGTTAATATTTATTGTTAATTATTATTATTTATATTTTTGTTATGAATTATTATTTTTTGTGTAATTATTTAATTATCACATGTACTTATAAATAGGTTAGTCTTTATTTAAAGATAATAAATTTTTCAGATTCTTTCTTATCTCATATTAGTTTGTTTGTTCTCTCTATCTTTATCTTTTCTTCATACCACGTTATCAGTATAATAGTCTTTCATCTATTGATGTTACAACTTATAAGACAAAGTTGTGAAGAATTTTCTTGAAGAATGTCATATTTTTTAAGATAAATATTTTAAGGTTAATTATTCATCTTCAACAACATGTATTTTATCAAATATTTATATTATTTACATTATCATAAATCAAAGTAGTCTTGAAGACACTATAATAGTCCTAAAGACATTATTAAATTTTTTTTTCTTCATGTTCTTGAAATATGTCTAGAAGACACTCTCAAAGAAAAATGTTCAATCTTTTTTACTTTATTAATTTTTTTCCCTTTACCAAAAATGAGAAATATCAATGTATCGTTGACATAATACATTCAGCCTAATATATATTAATTTATAAGGAATGATGAATATATTTATTCTGCCTAATAAATAAATATATAATAATAATAATGAATATTATCATATATATTTTCTTCTCACGTTACCAATTTAAATATTCTGCAATATTTAAAAATTATGTTTTTTACGTCATATCAATATATATATATATATATATATACCATATATTTTTTTTATAATCATTAGGTTGTTTTGTGTGTGCTAATTTATATTAAATCAGAGACGATTTGATTTCCATAATTAAGATATTATTAATAATTAATTTGTAATTTTAATTTTATTGTTATTTATGATTCATTTATTTCTTTATTTGAATTTCTCTCTCTTTTACGATAGTATTGAACATGTTAAATATTGTGAAACTCGAATTTGTTACTCTTGACATTAAAAATTATTTATCTTGAATATTACATACTAAATACATTTAGATACAATGGGTCTTGGAGACTCTATTAAAGAAGAAAACGTAGCATCTAATCAAGATAATATTAAAACTAAGATTTTTCTTCGTCATCACTTTCACACTTTTTCTTTAGAATAATTTAATGGAAAAGTATGATCATCAAAAAAGTTGATTATCTTATAAGCTCGTTATGATTTGATGCATTTATACTTACAAATTTCAAATCTGTAAGTAAATATGATTATGCAATATTTAAAATTACTTCTAAATTGAAATTGTGTGGAGAAAAAATTATTGATAAAGATATGTTAGAGAAAACATTCTCTACTTTCATGCATCTAATGTGATCCTATAGCAAAAATATCAACAAAAAAAAAGTTTAAGAAATATGTTGAATTAATTTCCTACCTCCTTGTGATTAAGCAAAATAACGAGTTTTTATTGAAAAATCATAAGGCTCAACCAACTGGTTTTGCTCCATCCCTATAAGTGGATGTTGTAACATATGATGGACAAACTAATGTTCATAGTTGTGGTCATGGCTGTGGAAATAGTCGTGGTTGTGGTCGATCGTAGAGGTAGTTGTGATCACAATGAGGTAAATAATAATTTTTCACATCAAAAGTGAAAATAAGAATAAAATGGATGGACATAGTAACAACCACGAGGAAAACAAATGTTAACATTATGGTGACAAGGATCATTAGTCATATACTTGTTGTACAGCAAAGCATCTTGTTGAACTTTACCAATAATCACTTAAAAATAAGAATAAAAAGATAAAGACACATTCTGTTTATGAAGAGGGTGATTTGGGTGATTCAGATTATGGTCATATGAATGTTACCCACTTAGATGTTGTTAATTTCTTTGTTGATCCAAATGGAAAATTGATTACCTTATTGGTGATAGGAGTATCTAGAAATAAATTTTTTCTTTTCTTTATTATCATTGGGTTTTGAGTATTTCTTATGTTTTGATGTTATTGGACTATGATTTTTTTTATTTATAAATTTATATAGATCTTCTTGTTAGATTGTTATCATTTAAAATATTATTATATTACTTATTTACATTTTGTTTTTAATTTTTATGAAGAATAGGTATTGATAATAACATCAATAATGAATATGTGTCTCACCGATAGTGCAACGACTCACACAATTCTCAAGAATAATAAATTTTTCTCAAATTTAGCAATGCAAGAAATCAATGTTAGTACTACAAATATAATTGAAGGTTCCAGAAGAAATAATAAATTATTATCAGGAGGAATGGAGTTGCATAATAAAAATACATTATATTCTTCAAAATCTTATATAAACTTATTAAGTTTTAAGGATATTTGTTGAACTGAATATCATATTAAAATAAATAACGAAGGAAATAAAGAATATCTTTATATCACGAAACTTCACTTGAATTAAAAAGAAAGTATTGAAAAAATTGTCTACTTTCTCTTATGAACTGTATTACTTATATGTTAATAGAATTAAAACACATTATTATAAACTAAAAATTTACAAATCAAAACAAATTTAAGATTTAGTATTGGTCAATTGGATCATCTCATAACTATCATGATGAAAAAAATAATTAAAATTCCATATAACATCACATTATATTTATCAAAGTAGGAGGTTACATGTTCAAATTTACTTTTTTATTTTTTACTTTTTTGCATTTTGAATTTTAGAATTCACTTCTGCGTATATAGATGATTTTTATAAAAGATGTTAAAAATAATAAATCACAATGACAAGGCAAAACAATGTAAACAAAGATCTGTCCAAAAAGAATGAGAAATGGAGGATTGCTAGTGTTCCTATATTCGATCCTTGGTCTCGGTCTAGATCTTCTCATTCCGTTCTAGTAGTCCAAAGTGGGGGAGGTGCCTGTAAAAGACACTCCAATGCCCAAGTAAGTGATCAACGTATTAAATGTGGTAGTTCAAAGTTGGTTACATACCTCGTTGGGGGTCTATTTATAGCAGTTGTTGTTGGACCGTGATTAGGGACTGAGCCTCGAGAAATTAGAGGGTTAAACTGGTGTATTAAGTAAATTAATCTCTCCTTAATTTACCTGACTTAACTCCGTGTCCTCGTGTACGCGAAGCCTGCTGGATGATCCGACCGACCACGACTTCACCGAGCCGCCTGGGTCAACCTTGGTAGATATGGTCGGTCGGATCGACCGAGTTCGTGTTTGGCCTGGTCGGTCTCCATCTGGTATAGATAATAGAGTGGTGCCATGGGCAAACCAATAGCCTTTCTGTCATAAAAATCTTAAAGGGGTGTTTGGTTAGTTAATTTTCTCAACAAGAACAAAATTACATGATCTTAATATTTAAAGAACTAAATATATATTTAAATCTCTGTCATATATATATATTTTATAAAATTAATTTTATTATTAATTTTCTATAAAAAAAATAATGCAACAAAACATCAACATTTTTAAAAAGATATTATTAAAGATAAATAAAAAGTACTCCTCTAAATCATAATTTTTTACATTTAAAAATTTTACAAGTCCTTAAGAAATATTTAATACTAATATGATAAGTTTAAAATATCTCACTTAATATTTTAAAATATGCAAAGTAAGAATAATTATAATTATAATTATAAAATAGGAATATTAATTGTTAAAATAAGAAATACGTAAACAAAAATACTTAATATAAATTTGTAAGACATAAATTTTTTGAAAAAAGAATCTAAAACGTAAAAAAATTACGATTGAAAAAGAGTAATTAATATTGTAATAAAAAGTTAAAATGAGAGCTGTTATAAAATAAATATATGACATTTATATTTTTGTTTCCATTTTCCAAGTATATTTTGTTCTAACCCATTAAGGAAAAAAAAAACATTAATGATTGGATGGAGAAACACGAGGAAGCAGGAGGTGGCATTTAAGTAGCAGCCGCTGAATTCAAAGAAAAGTAATGCTACTGAAACCGAAACACATTCCGGAATATCATCCGAATTATTAAAACTAGTGGGGTTGTATTATCTTAAAATTTAAAATAATTCATATATGGAATGAATTCATTTGTTGGCATATAATTATATAAATAATTTTACACAATATAATGTTTTACTATCATAAAATTTTCTTAATAAGAATACCAAATAAAGATTTCACTTTATGACGATTTTTATGTTCCTTGCAATTTATGATAGAAATTAAATGTCATTCTGCTATTACTTTTAGTTAACATTAACATAACTAAAACATATATCAGAATTAATAAATAATTAAATTGAATAATGTCATACTTTTCAATAATAAATTTCAATTCTTTATATAATACATCATCCATAATTTCTTTAACTTTAAAAAGCTACAAAAATAAATAATACAATGTCATGTATCAATATGAGATATTTAAAATTTCATGTAATTTATTTTATTTTATGAAAGAAATAACCATAACCTAAAAAATAGAGATATTTTATTTTGCATGAAAGTTGTCAATATAATAGGTATTACTCAATCTTGCATTTTCAAGTGTCTTAATATTGAGAAAAATATGAGTTAGAATTGATTTAAATGAAGAAATGTTAAAATTATATTTTTATATATATTAAATTGACACATAAAAAATATTTTCACAACCATATTATTATATTACCTTTCTAATTTTTTAGATAACAATTATTTTTTCACCATTTTCCAAATTTTAGTTAATACAACAGAGTTAAACACTACAAAATAAATATGTGATATTAAAAACATAACTTTTGAAACTAACATAATTTCATGGAAAAAAATGATTAAAGTTGAGAAACATATTTAATTTAGTAAACTCAATTTTATTGAAAAAAATAGAATAAATTTAAGATACACATTTAAGTTCAATCAAACATAGTGATATATTATTTGGGTAACATAAATCAAATTTTATGTTTCATGGTTGAATTGTAACATTTTTTAATATATAATATCTACTAAAATTATATTAGATATTTATAAATATATTTAAGTTTTTAAATATATTAAAATAATAAGTTTTCAAATAAAATTTTATAATATTAAATCTATAACTTAGAAAATAAAAATCAAAATAAGAAACAAACATATTTTAAATATGGACATTTAAAAAATTGATTAAACATAAAATGAAAGAAAAATACATTTAAATTTACTATTGACTAAACTTGAAATGAATTCAATGCAAAGGATGTCCTCCAAATATAGTTAAATTTATTTATGTCTTTGTAAATTTTAATACTTTTAAATCGAATAACTTGTAGACATGTTACATGTCATTTTTGTGTAACTAATAGCATTGATGCGATGTCATCATTGAGAAAAGAAAAACAAAATTACACTCCTTTTTTGTTTGATGGACTTATGAGTCTTAAGTCATTTCTTCATCCTCATGTAAGTCATGATCATCAAGGGTGTACTAATCATCATAACCACAATCATGCTTCTTAATGGTGTCTTTATTGGGGTCAGAGTATTATTCTTCTACACCATGTGTCACTATATCCAACATTAAAGAAGATGACTTAAAATATAATACAACTTGCTTGCAAATGTGATTCATACCAGGATAGAGTGGGGATGAGTTTGGAATAAAGCGAAAGTTGAGAATTGATTGGGATGAGAAAAATGTAGAGAGGGAGAATGGAAAAAAATTGTACAAAGTAGGTAGAGAAAATTTCTAAGAGCGAGAAGATAAAAATGGATAAAATTATAGAAATATTGTGTAGTTATTATTTTAAAAGAAAGTAATCATCAATAAAGGTAAAATCTTAAGTTATATAAGTTATAGATAGAAGTTATAAGAGAATACTAACCTAGAAACTATGAATGGGAAAGCATAAGATCAAAGGTACTAATAATGGCCTTCATCGATCAAAACACAATATGAAAGTCATTCATGTATATCATTGGCAATGAGTCATGGATCCAGGAGTCAAGCGGGTAAGTCAATTTCAACGTGTTTTGACTTTTTTTAGGACAAAAAATATGTTTTTTTTCTTGCTTGAAAGTATAGGGAGTGATGTTGTAGAAGAATCATGTGCAACCCAGTTAGATACGATAATTGTGTGATTTGGTGATAGCGTTGAATGAAAATTTTGGTGAGAGAAAAAAAACATTATCTTACAAAACGTTGGATTGGGACTTATAATAGAGTGATAATGGATTTGGTTTATAATTTTTTTTGAAAATAACATACTTAACGACGACTATTTGTGTGGTTATTATTTTGAAAGAAAGTAACCACCTTACGGTTATTATTTTGAAAGAAAGTAACCACCTTACGGTTATTATTTTGAAAGAAAGTAACCATCAACATCAATAATAATAAGGGGTAAAATTGGATAAAAGAAAGTGGAGACCAAATATTTATAAGTTTTAAAATATTATTTTTTCTAATTTTAAAACTATTAAAAATTAAATAAAATTCAAAATTCAAAATTATGCAAATTTTAAATTCGAATTTTTAATAAAATATGATTATATATTTAAAATTTTAAATCTATCAAGATAATAAGTTTAAAAATGAATTTTTATAATTTAAAAGGAAAAAAATAAATTTGGAAAATAGAGATATCTTAAATTTGAATTTTTAAAAAGTTGAATAAATTTAAATTTACTATAAAAATAATGCAAAAAATCATGGTAAAAAATGACTAAATTTACATAATTTAATGTAGAATTTTTTTAATGAGCGTGAGGAAATAGAATTGAGAAAATAGAATCGACCTGAAAAAACATGGCTGAGGAATCTGAGCGAAAGAGAGAAAGTCTCAATCCTTAGACGCAATTGTGAAACTGCCAATCCTTGAAATCCTTCCCATGTTGTTATCCCATCTATTCGTACTCATTCTACGTCAAAATCAACGAACAATGATGGTCGTAATGTATACAATTGGTGAAATGTTTATTGTGGGCAATTTAAGTGGATTGAAAAATGAAAAAAAAAGTAGAAAGGTTTGAAGGAAAAACAAAGAGACAAAGACGATAACAAGATATGATAGAGAGAATAAAAAGAAGAAGAAAGGTGTGAGGGGTTTGTTGCGAGAAGAAAATAATGAAATGAAATGGCTGGTGGGAGAGGAACAATTTCCTTTCTCTCGAATCTCAACTGCCATGAGAAAGGATATACCATGAAATGGAGGATATATTATGCAGGAATATGAAGTCACTTTAACAAAAAAGAGAGGAAACAAGAAAGAGAGGAATGTGAAAGTACGAATAATGAGTGCAATTACTTAAATAATATGTGGTTAAAAAAAATAAAAGTGAGTAATTACTTAAATAAAATGACATAATTACTTGTATTAATTATTTAATATGTAATATTATTAAGGATAAAAAAGTCATAGTAAAAGTGGAGACCAAATGGTAGTTACAAACGTTTGTATCCCCTTTATATAATGTTTAATGTTATAGATGTTATTATGTTTTAATAAATTTATTATAAAATAATTATTTAAATTAATTTTTTATAGTAATTCGGAAGAAATTTCGGTGTGTTTCTCGGAGAGTGCAGCATTTTCCATTCAAAGAAATAAATTAAAATTAGTAAAACAAGTTGTGAGAGTCCCATCCCGCGAAAGCAGGTAGATGAGTCAAGTCAAAGTTAACCAGCGACATCTTTGGAATTCACTTCCATGATCCATGATCCATGATGATCCATGATCCATGATCCATCATCCCACACTCCTAATTCCTAAACAATCTCATTCGCCATGTCCTGCTTCAGACACCTCTCCAGGTTTTCTCCCACTAACACGCGCCGCTTCGCTCATCTCTCTCGCTTCACCACCTCCACCGCCCCGGATCGCTATGCGGGCCTCGGGCCCACCGGGGCCCACCACAAGCCCCGGGTGGTCGTGCTGGGCACCGGCTGGGCCGGCTGCCGCCTCATGAAGGGCCTCGACCCTGAAATCTACGACATCGTTTGCGTCTCCCCTCGCAACCACATGGTCTTCACACCTCTCTTGGCTTCCACCTGTGTTGGAACTCTCGAGTTTAGATCCGTTGCCGAACCCATCGCCAGGATCCAGCCCGCTATTTCCACACAACCCGCTTCTTTTTTCTTCCTTGCTAATTGCACCGCCATTGATGCTCTTAACCATCAGGTTTTTTAACTCACTTTTGTCAATGCCTCTAGATTATCTTGCTTTGGGGGAAGAACGAGTGTGTTCTGTGACTGGATTGAACTTTTTCCAATTTTGTTGAAACTAAGGGATTTTTTCAAAGTTTGAATTTATTAAAAGGTACCTTATTTGTGAATGGATTTATTGAAATTTTGTTTTTGATGATACCTTTGGTCTACCCTATATTGGAAGTTAAAACTCGCTGTTTTTTGTTGGAATGGTAATCCTATCTAGTAAGATTAAGCTTGTTATTGTTTAATTGGAATTAAAACTACCAAAGTGGCTCCCGGAGCCTGAGGCCCCAATGAAAATTCAATTTCATATCTATTTCTTACTGTTTCTCATTCTTCTCCAATACTAGTATTGGTTGAAATATCTGGCTCACACAATGTGGCCTAGTTTGGGAGAATTACTACTGTTAGTTGAAATATTGCTACTCACAATATGGCTTAATTGGGTAGAATCTGACAAATGGTTTTGAAGGTGCAATGTGAGACTGTAACTGAAGGAGCGGAGACAGTAGATCCTTGGAAGTTTACAATCTCATATGATAAGTTGGTAATTGCATTAGGAGCGCAACCTACTACTTTTGGAATTCGTGGAGTCTATGAACATGCAATTTTTCTTCGTGAAGTTTACCATGCTCAGGAAATTCGTCGGAAGTTGCTCCTGAACTTGATGATGTCTGATGTTCCAGGTTTGCCACAATTTTGCTATTTTAGCTTAACATGAAATCACTTGAAAATAATGGTTTGATTTAATTACCTTTTTGGTCCTGTAGTTACACAAACTTTCCTTTTAAATCTCTACTGTTAAAATAGTCTGTTTTAATCTTTACACAAACAATTTTTTTCCAAATCAGTCCTTACCATTAATTTGAAACAAACGTCGTTTGTGAATGGATGATGTGCCAAGTAAATTAACTTCGTTTGATCATTCTTTGTGTTCAGTGACGTGGTAGAGTAATTTGGGATGGAAATAAATAGTTCTCTTCATTTGTTCAACGTTGGTGTCTAGAATGCATTGATCGGTGATTCTAGGGTCATTGTTGTGGTGGGGTGCAATAGTGTTTGTGATGGTGCATGACTTAGTTTCGGTGGTACACGACAATATTGTGATTTGTCTCATTTTTTTCGTTGCTCTGAATCACTTTGACTAATCTGAATGTTGTGTAATCATTTAAATAATCGTTCAAATTGTTTGCAATATTGTTTATTGAGTTTCCCTAAGTCCTCTTCAGTTTCCCTGAATCCTCATCACCACCATTGCATTTGTTGGAATTGTGCTTGTGAATTGGTAGTTGCTGGTTGTGAATTGGTAGTGTGCTGGTGCGGTTAATGTGTTCTATTATGGTGTGGTTAATTTGGTGTGTGCTAGTTTAAATTGGCAGGGTGTGGTGGTTTTGAATTGGTGGTGCGTGCATTAGTGGTGAGTGTTGATGTGGTGCATCAGTGGTGGGTGCTACGGTGTGTGCTGGTGGTGTGTGTTGTTGGTGTGGTGAATGCATTCAGGCATACGGTTTTGTTTCAATTAATGGTAGAGACTGATTTGGAAAAAAAGAATCATATATAGGGACTAAAATAGGCTATTTTGAATAATAGGGATTAAAAGGGAAAGTTTGTGCAATTGTAAGGACCGAAAAGATAATTAAACCGGCCTAATGGTTATTATACATCACATACGTAATCTGTATTTGATTTGGATGCAGGGATTGCAGAAGAGGAAAAAAAAAGGCTGTTACACTGTGTGGTTGTGGGGGGTGGTCCCACTGGAGTTGAATTCAGCGGTGAACTTAGTGATTTTATCATGAGAGATGTCCGTCAGAGATATTCTCATGTGAAGGAATACATCCATGTTACTTTAATTGAGGTATGCTTAGTAGCATTAGATATTGGATACAAACAAATAAACTATATATTTGCTATGGCCTGTAGCAACAAATATCTTGCCCTTTCCCTTGTATATCCCCATGTCTTACGATTCTTGCCAACATAATGGTTAGAAACATCTTATGGTGTGTTTGGACGAGGGATTTTACAAATTCAAAGAATTTAAAATTCTTGGTATTTGAATTATATTGATTTCAATTTCTATCATCTAAAAATATTTTCTTTGGATAAATCAATTTCAAATTTTTAAAAATTTAAATTTTTAGTTTGGATATGGTAATTTGATTCCATCATGATAAAATTAATTTTAAAAATATATTCATATGTTGAGATTTTTAAATTAAATTTTATAAAAATAAATATTAACTAATTTTAAAATATTTAATAATTTTAAAAATATTTTTGAATATTCAATAATTAAAAGAATGGAGATAAGATAAAATATATAAGTGAAATAAGAAAAATAAATATGAGGAATTTTAAATTCTTACTTTTTTGGGAGAATTTGAAATTCTACTATTTTTAAAAATTTCACAAATGCTTGGAATTCAAATTCATTGTAAATTCTCCATCCAAACAAAATATTTTATCTCAAGAAATTTGAAATTCTTCAAATAAATGAATTACCCTATTTAAATTCCCCATCCAAACACACTCTTAGAGTTCCTGGAAGCCATTTTTTTCATGATTTTCATTTGGTAACAAATTTATTCATGCCATTTTAGGCCAACGAGATATTGTCTTCCTTTGATATCAGACTAAGGCAGTATGCTATCAAGCAATTGACAAAGGTGAGCTATATGTCAAAAAAAGCTTCTATTCTTTTTGATCATCATGTTCCTGCTGATTTTGAACTTCTGAATATCATTAAAAAAGCAAAAGAAAAACTAAACCCAGCTTTCCTTTGAAAGAAATTTAGTTTATTACTATTGTATTAATTAATTATGAAAAGGCAAAATATTACATGGGATCATTCATACAATTGATGAGACTCATTCTGAAAACTGATTGATAGCCTAGCTGTTTAAGTTTATAAGTATTAGTTTTATATATTTCCTCATATTGAAGTTTCTATCAGTCAGGAGTCCGACTTGTCCGTGGCATTGTGAAAGATGTTGAAGAGAAGAAGATTATCCTAAATGATGGCACTGAGGTTCCATATGGGTTGCTGGTATGGTCAACTGGAGTTGGTCCATCACCAATTGTTCGCTCTATGGATCTCCCTAAATCTCCTGGTGGAAGGTTGTTCTTGCTACTTGACATAATTGCACTTAGTCTCATTCCATCGACAGCCATTTCAACTTTACAAATTGGCATCTAATTTATGAATAGATATAATATTTTCATCCGTCTTTACTGGATAGCATGATTACTTTTAACATTCTATGCATTTATTTATGTACAAGATTCAAGAAGACCGAGTATGGTATTAGTCTTAAACCAATGAATAACTTCTCATGAAATTTTTTATTTCAAGGTTGGATTTGAAATTTTTTATTTCAAGGTTGGATTTGAAATTTTATTTCAGGCATGTCATGCTCATAAAGTATAATATAAATCCCAGATTTGTTTTTGTAATGCATAGTTTTCAAATAAGAAAATATCAATAATTTGATTATCTACTCATTTTTTAATCTTCCAAACTCTCGCATGAAAATCATTATGTAGAAAAACCTATAAATTGGATTCAGTAAGGAGTTATATTGTGGTGCAAGTATGTTAAGGCTGGCATTGGTGTCAATTGAGCTCCATCCATACGTGTATGTAGTTGCGTTTTACTTTCCTAGTCATTTGTCCACCATAAGCCCCTGTTAGCTGTATTAGGTTTCTATGTATTTGACACAGTTGATATGCCCTGCCTTCGGCCCTCGTGCTTCTTTTATTGCATGGAAACTATAACTATAGATTACTGTATTTCCCAAAAGCAAATTCTTAAAGTTTCTTATTCACAGGATTGGCATTGATGAGTGGCTTCGTGTTCCTACAACAGAGGATATCTTCGCAATAGGTGACTGCAGTGGGTTTCTTGAAAGTACCGGAAAACCACCACTTCCGGCTTTAGCCCAAGTATGTGTGACATTGGGTTTCATCAATTTCTCCCACATACACTTTTCATTTCTTAAATTCCTGCAATTTATTGTTGATTTTACACTAAGGTGCGAGTCCCTGACGCATCATTCTTAATGTGTTACTTGTATATTTAGTGTTAGTGGTTCATGAATGAAGTGGTGTTGCATGTTTCTTCTGTGCATGACAGCATATTCTTGTCTATTTAATGCATTGCCATTTGAATTGAACCACAGGTGGCAGAAAGGCAAGGTAAATATTTAGCAATCTTACTAAACAGAATAGGTAAAGCCAATGGTGGCCGCGCAAACAGTGCAAAGGACGTAGACTTTGGGGAACAGTTTGTTTACAAGCACCTTGGAAGCATGGCAACTATAGGGAGTTACAAGGCTCTAGTGGACCTCAGACAGAGCAAGGTGACTTTTCATTCCTGAGCTTTTGCTGGTGCTTTAAAAACTTATGTATGGTATGATTCATTTACGTATCTCCTACAGGAGGCCAAAGGGTTATCTATGGCAGGTTTTATCAGTTGGTTTATTTGGCGTTCAGCATATCTAACTCGAGTCGTCAGCTGGAGGAACAGATTCTATGTAGCTATCAACTGGGCTACTACTTTTGTGTTTGGCCGTGATATAAGCAGAATATGAGAACATTTTAAGGTAAATGCTTTCTGCCATGTAATTTTATTAAGACATAAATGTTTGTAGGGCCTTTCAGATGATGCTTATGTTTATTAGTTGTGTTGCAGGCTAGTCGTAAAGCAATAAGATAATAAAGTGTATTTAAATGGATCATATTGGAGTAGCATGTTTCAGAAGCCAGTATTTTTCAGTAGATGAGTTTCAGTAAGCTGATCTGCAAGGAACTGTACTAGTTCGTGATATTTGCTACACGTTCAATTTGTTTTAAAGAGTGGCAATGAATATGTTAGTCGGGAGTTGGCTTGAAAGGGAAGGCAATAAATTAAATTTGGCTGTCTTAGGTATTTTATAATTAATAGCACATACACGCCACGGTTCAATTTGCGTCATCTGAAATACTGATTATTGGCAATATTCCCCAATTGTATGATGAGATTTGACAATAATAATATATTGTGAACGGATTATTTGGTTGGACAATTTATGTATCTGCCAAGTAGTACGAGAACACTGCAAATGCAGAGATATGAATGAAAATCAAATTTACACCCGACAAATAAAAACGGGCTTTTAGAAAATCACAACTGACTTAAATAGAAAGTTTGTACCGTGCAAGTCATATCATGATTTAAGTCTTTATTATAACTTATACAAACTATCGATACTTAACTTTAATTTCTCTTATATATTGATTAATTTCTTAACGTCTTGTTTTGATATACATTTAGGTAATCTTTGCTCATCCATGCTTAACTATGTTCCATGACAGTTTTTATATGTACGTTTCTATAGCAAGTCCAATAACTGATAATTAAAAAAGTGGAAAGCGTAAACTCTACCAATCTATTGACTGAGTTTGCCTTCACCAGTTATATGGTTCTTTTAATACGGAACGTTCATGCTCCAGTATAAACATCTGGAAACCTTATAACATGACATTCCTATGATATCTGTATACCAACCTTTACTTAACAATGCAATGACAGGTCCAGTTAACATCATTTATGATAGTGCAAAATATGTCTCCACCAAAGGCACTAAGACATCAATTCTGGTACACCATTGACACGAATAGAATTCGTCAGCTTTTTGTTAACTAGATCCTTCAACTCGATCTCTCCGGGAAACCTTCCTTCCTTCAGTTTTGAGAAAACCTTCAAGGGAACAAGAGTTTGAAGGAATAAGTAAAAATTCAAAAGCATTTGAGATGCTATATATATACCAAACTTTCCATCTAGGTAACTCTAAAGTCAGAAGGGAGGCGAGGGGGGAAGATCAAAAGACCGTTCAGATAATAACTCTTTAAACAGAAAAGATGACATGTTTATTCCCACAAATTATATCCTTCAAATTTAAAACACTGAAAAATGCAAGAAACCTAATAATCAAAATAATGTTACAAAGTCAAATACCCAGTGGGTTGAAAGCTGAATACAAGGTATTGAACAGCTCTCCCCAATAGACATATAATTGTAATATGAAAGTAGATGTTCCAAACTACAAAAGTTCATATAAAAATATCAAAGGGATCACCATGGAGTTATTTGGCTTAAGGTAACATGTTTTTCATTTAGTTGCAATGGAGGACAGATCCAATTCCCCAAAGTCTACTCACTTTTTCACAATATCTTGCCGCAGAAATCTGAAATTACTTTTAGTTTGTTAAATACAGTATTACTCAATGAATATGCATTCAACAATGAAAAAGAACCATCTACAAGAGATGTAATTGATAAGATAATGATGGTAGCTAAAATTTTCTTAGTGAGCCTTGAGTTAACCAGAGAAATCAAGGGAAGTGGTAAAAATGTTGGTAATAAGAAAATTCATGTGAGACATCCATCCAGTTATGATTGATTGCACATGCTCTTAGAGTCACAAAGCATAACAAAACTTGCATTTACCGGAGAGGAAGATCAGAAGCTCAACTAGCAAATAATAATTATAAGGAAATAAAATATAGAAGGAAAGCACCAACCAGTTCACCATTGAAGTAAACTTCGAAAGCCCCCGAGCTCTGTAAGAATGACTGCAAGGCATTTCCAAGAAGCCAAGTACTAGCGATGGTTCCAAACCTATTAGCACGCAAGTTGTAATACCAGGGAGGAGGTGCAACAAAACCCAACATTGGAAAAATATGTTCCCCTGCAACAACCACCCCTATAACACCAATCTGAACAACTGGAACCAATTTGCTTAGCAGACGTTTCGGAATTGGTGGGGGATAATTTGCAAGAATAACCTCAGTTCCAGGAAAAGCAATCTCCAACATGTTCTTCATTGTCACTGCTGTTCCCCTACACACAAACAACACAATCATCCATTTACACCAACTTCTCCATCCGAAACACAACCCATGCACGTCCAATAACCACTTTGAAATATATTTGGTTGAAAGGAGAGACAATTGAGGGGCAGAGAAACATGATAACAATGCATTTTCTTTTTATTTGATTGAAGAAAAAATGATAAAGAAAATGAAGAGAAAAACAGAATTTTAGGAACAAAAATTTCAAAATCCCCTTTCCTTCCATTTTCTATTCAATTTCAATTTGTGTCTTCCCCTCATTTTCTTTCCTCTGCATCAAAACAGAGGGTTAGGAAACACAAAACAATAAAAGAAGGCAATGATCCAAAACGATACTTCTCTCATTCGATGACAAACCACTGATAATCCAAATTCCAAAGCACGTTAAATGATATGCAACCCAAATAAGATTTGGCATTCTTGGTGCATTAACCAAAAACCTAATGTCATACATAAACTTTGGGGTCAATTCCCCTATTACCCACAAACTAAAGGAGACAGTTAAGCTCAAAAATCATTCCTTTTTATATTTTCTCTCTCTCTGCAAAACTCCATCAACATTCAAAAACAGTAGGCCTATAATACTACTAACAATAATAAGATGAAAATAAGGAAAAGTACCTGTAAGAGCAAGCAGAGCAGAAATTGATGTTGACGGTGTTGCCTAGACCCACAGGTGCAACATTACTGGCGGGTAAGGGTTTCTGAGAAAACAAAAAGTGACCCAGTATTGGAATAATGATAAGATGGAATTTGCATGAAAGAAATGAAATAAGTTACCTCGGGGGGAAACTCTATTGTTACCGGGTGGTGAGGTGGGTGGTGGGGTGGGTGATGGTGGTGGGGTGGATGATGGTGGTGATGGGGTGGGTGATGGTGGTGGTGGGGTGGCGGTGGCGGTGAAGTGAAAAGGGAGAAGAGGTCAGAACAGAAGAGGAAGATGGGCAAACCCACTAACAGAAGCTGAGCGCGATCCATACTCAGAATCAGAATATGAGAAATGAGTTTGTGCTCCTCTTCTCCACTCTGGCTCTATAGCTTAAGCTCGCTCCCTCACATATAAATAATTTAGTTTAATTTATTTTTAAATGAAATATATGTGTTATAATTATTTCCTTTTAGTACAAATACATATTATCAAATTATTTTTATTATAAAATATGTTTTAAAATTATTTATTCATAGTTTTATTTAATTATTTATTTAAAATTTTATATATTTCAAATATTTATAGATACATGTAAATTCTCACAAATTTACAAAAGCTTATAGATCAACTAAATGAATACTCATATAAAACAGGATTAATGACGAGGTGTTACTACCTGTCTCATCTGGTTTGCATCTCTAATTCCTGGCATACATAGAAAATTTATAACTTATGTCAATTTATTTTAATAACTTTGTAATTTATTTTTATAAACTAAGTGATAGAAAATAAAAAATAAATCAAATATTTTTATTTAAGTTATTTTATATTATTAACTAATTTTATTATATACTTTTGATTTAATCGTTTATGTTTTTTTTTTTTTTAAATTTTTCAACACTTAATTTATAACTTATAACTATAAAAAAAACACTTTATCTATAACAAGTTTTACTTAGATTAATATCATGTTTGGATTGACTTATGACGAGAAATAATTAATTATTTTTACGATGAAAGTAAAGTAAAAGTAGTTTTTTTTTGTTTTTTTTTTATTTTTACTTTTCATAGTATTATCCTGATTTTGAATATAATTGATTTTTTTTTTTTGGGAATTATTCAATGTTTCAAACACATTATAGAAGATTAATAAGAAAATTTATAAGAGAAATTAAAATTATTCTTTTTCTATTTAAGAGTTTCAGAAATTAATATTAAACATGGACAAGTGGTTAATTCGAATAATCTAGTTCTGTCACATGATGAATGTTCTTGACTTGAATTCTGATCTAAAAAATAAAAAAGAAAAAAATCGAGCACAAATTAAGATATTGGCATAACTTGCAATGCAACAATTGAAAATATCATAAATCAAGCCAAACCTTGGGGTGTAAGAAACTAGAACACATTCCATGATTCATGTTTGTATAGCAAATTGTTTTAAAGCCCCAATCAAATCGATATTCCGGGTATACAATCACTCATTTTCTCATGTTACACTTCAATTTTTCTCCACACATTATTATTACATCAAATTGCAACCTCTTAACATAAAAATTTCCAACTCCCCTCAACACTTGGAAAAATGGCAAATAGTTGTTTTGGTCAGAAACATGATCAAAATAGCTTGAAGAGGAAGGACCTTGAAGTTTTCTGATTTCCAAGCCAGTGTTGCATGTGAATCCCAATGGCATCCAAGTACAAGCTGCTCCTACCATGAAAACCCACCACCTTGCCCTCTGTGATGGTTGAGGTGAAGAATTTCCCTACTTCTTCGCCAAATGGACCATACTGCCCACGACTGGTCTTGAAAGTCAGCGACTTTATGATTACATGCCTCTCATCCGTAGCAATTGACCCGCAGTAGCCAGATATGCAAGTCACCACCTCATGTGGATACTCTAGTTGTATCTGAAATCACAATAGTTTAGCTTCATTAACTTTTTTTTTCTTTAATGATCCGTGGACTTAACATGATGATAATGAGATTCGAGTATAAGATTATGAAAGTATTACTTTAATTTCTCACCATTAAGTTGATTCTAGTAATTCAATTTCGTTAAGTTTAACAATGTTCATATCATATACATTTTGTATTTATAACAATTATATGATATTAAATTATATTTCAAGGTCTGTTTATATAATTTTTTCAGTATGTATTTTCAAGAGAAGAAAATAAATAAATAAATTATTTTTTTCATAAGTTAAAAAACATATTTAAGAAAAATTAATATGAAAGATGTTCTCCAAACAAGCTTTTGTAATTTGATAAGGGGTCAAGTTTAGTACACTGTTTAGTAAAGGGTTAAAAAAGTTAAAAAGGTTGGAGTATCTATAGAAATTTATAAAATCTCTAAGTGTAATTTACTTAGGGTATGTTAATGTTTTCACTTTTGAGCAATTTGACTAGGGATTCAGTTTAAAAGATTGGTTTAAGGAAATGAGGAAAACAGTGAAATGTGCTTAAAGAAAGTGGATAAGAAGAATGATACCCTATGCATGGTGTCTCCTCCATTACCACCATGTTTCACAGACCACACAGATTGCATGTTTCGATCATACTCAATTTGAATAGAGCATATGCCTTCTGCTACTTTTGTCAAATAAATCTGCTTAACCCCAGAAAAGACTCCATCATCCCAAGGTCTACCTCCATCCCCACCCCATGGCCCTGGTCCACATGGAGCTGGTTCTTTCATCACACCACAACAAACCTATGAAAAAGTGAGCAATGATAGGATACTTAATTAAAGAGATGAACAAATTCTTAAGCATGTCTTCAATATCTTATAAAAGTTTGATTCTTATTACAAGACACGTATAACAGAATCATAGTTATTTCGGTTAATTTTATTAGTTTTATAAGAGAAAATATGTTTTTAATTCTTTAAATTTTAAATAAATTTCTTTTTGTTTCTCAACTTGAAAATTATTTTTTAATCTCAATAATTTTCAATAATCTTGTTTTACTCTTTTATGTCATTAATAATATATCTAAAAATTATAGATTGAGACAATAATTATGTAACATTAGTTGAGCTTAATGTAATATTCTCACTACTAAAGAAACTAATAAATAGATTTTATGTAATTGTATTTGACAAATTCTCTAATAAATTTGAATATAAGAGTTAAAACAAAATTTTTAAAAATTATAGAACTAAAAAATTTATTTTTAAATTTAAGAGATTAAAAGATATTTAAATTAAGAAAATTTGATGTATCAAATTAACTTTATATTAGTTTTCATTAAATTGTCGTGGAAGTGATAAATTTATTATTTCATATCAAAATTCATTCACCAATATCAATAATAATTGATAAATAGTTGTTGGTGATCGAGTTTAAGAAGTGGAGAAAAAACATTTATTTCTCACATCATATTCTCATTATTCAATAATAATAAAAATTATTTACAATTTTTAACAGAGACAAAAAATAATAATAAAATAAAATAAATATTTTATAAAAAATTATAAAATATCTTAAAAAGAATAACCACCAGACATCTTTTAAATTAAAAGTATCCCTTATTATAAGGTTTATAAGGATAAGAGAGAGTATTAGAAAGAAATAATACCTCTTGAGATGTTGATGATGGCTTAGCAAGTACTAGTTTTGTAGGCCATTGAGCACTGCCTGTTTCACCAATACTTGTTTCTCTAGGGATGATTTCCTTGGAAGGAGTTGCCATAGGCACTACTACTTTCCCTTCTTCCACATGTACTCCAAAAGCATCTAGGAACAAACCTTTTCTCCCATGAATGCCAACAATTTTACCTTCTTTCACTTTTGTGGTGAAGTAAGTTCCTTGTTCATCCCCATATGGTCCATACTTTCTTTTGGTGGTGTGGAAAGTTAGTGACCTAATAACAGCGGGTCCCATATACATCAAAGAGCCATAATAGCCAGTTATATGTGTCAGGGCTTCGTATGGAAAATCAAAGACTACCTGCAAAATGGTGTCACAAATATTAGAAATAAATGATCTTATTTTCCCAGTTGATCAAGGCTAAGACTTGGATAAACTTTTTTAGAAATATTTTTAAGAGAGAAAAATAAAATAAAAAAGTAAAAATAAAATTTTCTATAAGTTAAAACTAATTTACACGTAAGTTGAAATTAAGACTTGGAGAAGTTAATTGGGGAAAACTTCAAATTGACATATACACAGACTAATTTTAACTCATAAAAACTCATTTTATATCTATTCTATTTTTCTTTCTTAAAAATGTTGTCGAAGAAGTTTACACAAGCAGAACCAAGTTTGTCCATGTGTTCTTGTTCACCTTATCATTTTTAAATCCACCAGTTCCACCTTGTTTGGATCCCCATATGGCCTCCCCATCATAATCATACAAAACTCTAATCCATACAATTCCAACGTTTCTTGACAAGTTGATTTGCCTGATTCCTGTGTAGTTTCCATCATCAAATACATATCCACCAATGCCACCCCAAGGCCCGTATGTGACTACACCTCCAACCTTAGAGGTTGACTTCTCCACATGAGCCATCTGAAAGGAAGATACACACTAAGATTCATGTGGTGCAAAAGCCAAATTTTGAGAGTTAGGGAATGTTTGAAGAAACTTCTCTTGAAGCACTTTTAACAGAGAAAAATAGGTAGAAAAAAATAAAATAAAATTTTTGATAAGCTAATTTTTTAGAATTCTCTCTTAATAATGTCTTCAAAATCTTATTTTTAATTTATGGATAAGTTAGTTTTAACTTCTGTAAATACTTATTTCAATATGTCTTTCTATTTTGCTCTTCTAGAAGCACATCTAGAGAAACTTATCCAAACATATCCTTAGAACTTTAGAAGGAAATTAAGTAACCCTTCAAATGACAAAGAGATCATCAATGCAGGATTTCTTACCTTTTCTTTGTGATCAATATTGTTGGATTCTTTGACAATAGAAATCTTCTTGGTGACATTGTTTGCTAAAGGTTTGTTGAAATCATCTTTTTGTCTCACAGCAAGAACAATATCGTAGTTTTGGTTCACAGTTCCTTGTATTACAGAATAACCAAAATTCTCAGTCATATTAGTAATGGGGCTTTGGGTTTGAGCCAAATTTTTGGATGGATTTGGTTGTTTCAAGGACTTGAGATAGACTCCAATGGCATCTATGTACCAACCACACCTGCCATGGAACCCAACAATTTTGGCCCCAGACAAAGGGACTGAAAAACATGTCCCTTGTTCAACACCAAATGGTCCATAAGTTTTCTTGTTACTCTCAAAACTCAGTGACCGAACTAAGTTTGGCCCCCATTGATTTAGGCTTCCATAGTATCCATGAATTTTAGTTAGGATTTCATTTGGATAATCAAGCTTCACCTGCAACACAATCATAATAACTAGTTAGTTATTTACTATTATATTATTATATGCACAAAGTTTAATTTATACCAACTTCTACCTTAACATATCCTTTTGTGACAATATTGCGAATTAATGTCACCAGATCACATAAGGACATGGAACCTTTACCTTGTCAGTTTTATGGCCTCCACTTCCACCATGCTTCTCTGACCAAATAGAGGTTCCTTTCTTATCATATTCAATCTGAATGGAGTCAATGCCTGCACCATGAACTATCACTAGTTGCCTTACTCCTGAGTATATACCATCATCCCAACGAGACCCTCCATTACCTCCCCATGGCCCAACTGACTCAGATTTCTTTACGGAATCCTCAAAACTCTGCACCCAAAATAACAGGCAAAGGTGTTAAGAGGGTAACAAAACATATGAAGTTATTGAACATGAACTTTTAGGTAATCTATGCATTGAGTCCTATGTAACATAAACAGTTGCATGCATGTACTACCATCTTGTTCTACTTCAGGGACAAGAATGATAGACTTTGGACTAACAAAACTGCTAGTGTTAATGTGAGTGCAGATAGCGGAAGGCACAGGAGGAATTTATGGGGGAAGAGGGTGTGTTTGTGGCTGGGAACCTTGTCTAGAAAAATAATATAGATGAGGAACTATGTAGACAAAACTAATTTTTGTTGCACCATGGAGGGAAAGGATTGAAAGTCAGGGAATTAGATTCCCCACAGATATCAGCCCCTTGTTCTTATTTAGAGAAAATTTCATGTACTTTTATGGTCAAATACCAATCATTTTCTTTCGTCAATATTTAATTACATTTTTTCTCTTATAGTTTTATCAACTTTATTTTTTTAAGTCTTTATAATAAAAAAATATTTCATTTTAATCTTTATACATATAATTTTTATTTTCTTTTAGTCTCTATAAAAACCGATGATGACATAGATTAAAAGAAAATAAAAATGGTATATGTAGAAATTAAGATGAATGTTTTTAACCATAAAACTAAAATATAAAGTTAGTAAAACTATAAAAATGAAAAAGTTATTATTCCTATTCTTATTTCTATATTTTTAACAAATTTATTGGAAAAAAGAAAGGAACATATCATCTTCTGCTAAATTCCAGATTTTTTGGAATTTAGTCAGAAGCACTCAGACTTTGTTGCTTCAGCATGCACTAATGGTCTTGTGCCATGAGTGGTACAGATTTCTTTGTGAATGTGATTTCTAATGATCATGGCATATTCTGAATCATTTCATACTTTGTTTTTTTTTAATCTTTTTTAGTTATGGTCTTGGTATTAGAATTTGACACCATTCTTACTCATAAGGTGCTTCTTATAAACTATTCAGAGAAGAATCTAGTACTCTTTTGTGGATGATTTGTTCATGCGATAGTTTATATTCTACCTATATTTTTCCAGGTTGAGTTTTGTTGCTCCAATCATTAATTTATGAAGCATCTTTGAATGATATTATGTTACGTATATAGATGAAATGATGAAATGACTACAATGATTGATTTTATACTTCTTATAAATTCAAAATTCTTGCATAGTAACCGAATGGGGTTCTATATATATATAGTTTAACCCGTTTCATAATGTGTACTGTTCTAACGCCAAGTTACAGCTCTCGTTATTTTCTCTTTTCCTCGTTAACCTCCGCAATAAATCTGAACAGTTTTATTGCTTTTGATTTGATGTGTTAAATGCTTGATGTAATCCTTTTGTAAATTATATTCATATTCTTAATACATTGATTTTTAGCTTATTTTATTTTTTTCTTCTTTTTCCATTTGGCAGCATGTCTACTTACCTTTCAAAATCTTTTCCGTTGCTTCTAGAGCATTTATAATAAGAATTGTCTATGAACAAGTTTCACCCATTTAAAATAAGTTTTATTATGTCACATCATTTATAAAGTAATTTATATTATATATTTATAATTTTTGTTTTAATAAAATCTTTTTATAAGCATTCTATTTTTTAATAATCCATATTTCACTTTTTGTTTCCATTAATAATATTAGTCCAATAAATACTTTTACGAAGCAATTTCACAAGAGCAAGAAACATTATTTCAACAAATATCTGAATTTTTTTTTTAACTTTTATTTTACATCAATCAACTCTAATGGGAGTTTCTAGTAAGTTACGGTCTTACTTACAAGCAACAATCCAAACAACTGTCATTAGATTGCTATAATATTTCTTTTGTTTCTCTTTTATTCTTTTACTTTCTTTACCATTTTTTTTCTCATCAAACAAGAAAATCTACTTTGTGAACCTTGTTCCTTGTCATCACATTCCCTTTTCTTTGGTACATTTTCGTTTCACCCATTTACGCATGAAAAATGGCTTGAGAAGAAGGGATAAAGAATTCCAACTTTGTTGTGGTTACATGCTCTAAATGGGATTGTTTGCTGATGCTTGAATCTGAGTTTTGATTCAACAAATTTCGTAAGCTCGCTTATTTCTACCGCTGGGTCAACTTATGGATTCCTTTCAGTGAGGTTTTTTTTCTTCAAAAGATTTGTGTTTATTAAATAACTTATATAATTATATCAAATAGTCCCGTTAGTTAGAACGTGTTCACAACACTACCGACTTAAAATGAAAAAATACAACAAAATAAAGTAAAGCACAATAAAAGATGTCAGAAATACATCAGCTAAAAAATTTACAAAAATTAAAATGATCAAGCATCACCAAACAAATCCCATTTAGACCATGTATCCACAACAAAGCTGGAATTCTTTACCCCTTTCTTTCAAATATAAATTCAGACATTCTTAACCAAAAAAAAAAAATAGAACTGAAGCTTCCATATATGGTGAATCGGATACACATAGAAGATGCATTTTTCATTTTTATCGGGTGTTTTGCTGCTATTTTAATTTAAAATAATGTATTAGTAAATATAATTTTTTTAAAATTTTTTTATATCAGTTTTTTTCTCGGTTATGAAGTGAATGGCTCAGAATTTTATTTATTTTTTTATTTCTGCACTATACATTTCATTTTTATTAATTACATGTGTCCCATGAAAAGAGCCTACCAACAAGATTCCTTTGATTATCTGACGTAATGTGTTGAAAGAATTTTTTTTCTTCTAAAAAACAATTTCTTGAGCGCTAATCTTCCATCACGACCTTTCCTAATTATGCTTTATCTCAAATGTAATTTAAACTGATATTTAATGTTATCATTGATATAAATATAATATAGTAATCTTAAACTATATCTCGAAATTTTTTAAGGGCAATGATTGAATAGATAAGTGTATCAACTCTACCACATTTCTAATTCTTACTCCTAGTATATATAAGCCTATTTCATTCAAAATACTTTTTATTTGAATAAACTAACATTAAAATATTTTTTTAATCTTTATAATTTCACTTCTTTTACCTTTTAATTCTAATAATTTAAAATAAAAATTTTAATTCATATACTTATCTTTTTTAATTCTTTTTAATTTTAATACTTTAAAGATAAATTTTTTAATCCTTGTATATAGTTTTTTTAATCTTTTAATTCCTTATCGTTATTTTTTTTTGTAACATTGTCTATTTTATATTAATGTAATAGAATTTAACAATAAACAAAATATCTCAACAATAAATATTATAGGTAAGAATACAAAAGAAATTTAAAATATTAAGAGACCTAATTTAAAATAACTTCAATAAAATAAATTTGACATAAGACACAGAGTTGAATTAATATTGTCACATTAACACAAAAGAGACAATATTACATAAAAATCAATAACAAGAACTAAAAATTTTTTATAAAAAAAAAACTACAAATATAAAGACTAAAAAGATATTTCTTGAATGATAAGAGCTAGAAAAAAGATATTTTAAACTGTAAAGTCTAAAAAATAAAGTAAATAAAACTATAAGGATGAAAAAAATATTTTAACCACAAAAGAAAAAAAACTTCCATTTATAGAATTCTTTATTTAAATATTCAAATTTGATAAAATTATTGTAAAATTGTAAAATTATGTATTCTATAATAAAATGGAATTGTAAAAATATTTTTTGGAAGATTTTTTCATGACAGGAACATTTTAATTCACATTACCGTATTCGAAATGGTCAAATGAGATCCTAGAACTAACCATAATAATATGAGTTCATCACCTATACACTGCTAGTATAAAATTTTTTTACACTGACAACTAATTATATCTTTTAATTGTGTCATGTCACTGTTAAAAGTAAATGTATTTACAGTGACATGACACAATTAAAAGATATAATTACTTGTCGGTGTAAAAAAATTTTACACTAGCAGTATATAAGTGATTAACTCTAATAATATTACAAATTTCAGCCTAGTTGGATAAGATTTTCTAGAATTGGGAGAAAAAGATAAAGTAAAAAAATTGAAATAAACTTATCTATAAATTAAAACTAAACTAACTTATGTATTGAATTCTATTAAATCATTGCAGAGAATAATTAATAGCAGCTTTAAGTCCAACAAAATAATCTGCAAGAATGACAATTTTCATTCGAAATAAATATAACACGCAGAAAGAATATGATTATCCTCCACAGTCCACGGGAGGGGGGAAGGGGGGTCGACAATAACCTCTTTGCTTTCCTATCTCCGAACTTTACATATATTTGAACTTTGAACAAGATAAAGGGTACCTACCAAACTTTAATACTATCTGATAGATGGTACCATTGAAACTATATGAAGTTATTTTCATTCAGTTCACTTCACAACAAGTTTTGTCTCCCATATCTCACCAGCTGCTCAACTGTTTCTGGATTTTAGAATTGTGAGATGACCTGCCACCTTTGTCCTTGTACGAATTTCTGGCTGCAACAGTCTCCCGCCCCCTGCGAGCCGCCGCTATGGCTCGTCGTCTTTGCTTATTCAAGCTCTTAACAAGTTCGGCTTCGTTTTCCATTGCATCTTGATGGCTTTCCTCCTGTGGATTAAAATTACCATCATTGAAATAACAAGCTTGCTACAAACTAGAATAATATAAAGCTCCGTTGTGTGCTTTAGTTTTTACAAAGAATACATCTTGACGAAAATCTAAATCACATTGATAATTATTACCGTTCTGAACTAAACCAAGGGACCATGCAAGGTGACCTTCACATCATAGTTTTAACTTTTAAAGAGGCAATACAAGAAAATAATGTTCTACACTAAGTTACAATAATAAAATGAGCCATGGTTGACAAAAATCTAGATACGGGATACCATACAATCACATCAAGATTAAGAAGAAATACACTGGAACACTAGAAGAGCATAGGCACAACATTCCTTGTTAATAAGTCAGACAGAGACATACAAGCTATTTCCCAAAATATTCATCATGAGCCACTTTAAGACAAGAAATTCTTTAAATCGAATATAATGCAGAAGAAAAGGAGGCAACACAAACATAGCATCGAGATAACCAGCCAATAAAAAGAATTGAACACTGCTAACTTTGTCACTTGCATCTTCCTTTTCAGATCCACTGATTTCATGCGCTTC